TGGGTGAACGTGGTGCCGGCACAGCCGCACCAGCAACTTGGACAGGTCACGCCGCTTTTGCCTCCACGTTTGCACGTCCTTGGTCCGGCAAAGATGTCCGCCTCTACCACCTCTTCTTCCGCCGTGTCCTCAGCCGCCACCCCCGTGCCAAGTCCCATTACCCGACCGGCATATCACATGTGCAGGGCGCAACGGTGTCACGCTGTGCTGCACCTGGTATGCCTTGGCGAACGTAGTCACACAGGGGAGGAACTTCTGAGTGTAATGAACAGAGAAATCGACAGATGGCTGTCTCCGCGCAAACTGAAAATCGGAACCATGTTGACCGACAACGGAAAGAACATGGTGTCTGCTCTGCGTCAAGGAAGGTTGTGCCATGCGCCATGCATGGCTCACGTGTTCAATCTGGTTGTCAAGCGGTTCCTAAAATCCACCATCCCACTGCAAGACATCCTTAAATGTCACGTAAACTTTGCATGCATTTCAGCCATTCCTACACCGCAAAGCACACCCTCCTTGAGCTGCAGCGGCAGAACGGAATTCCACAGCATCGCCTGATCTGCGACGTTGCAACAAGGTGGAATTCAACCCTACACATGTTAGACCGCCTTTACGAACAGCGAAAGGCCATCACCGATTTCCTGATGTTACAAGCGGATAAAGGTACTCCCCTGTGTAACTTCGATGTCAGCCATTGGCAGCTCATGCGTGACACCTGCCGCTTGCTCAGGCCCTTTGAGGAGGCCACGCTATTCGTGAGTCGGCAGGACTATGGGATGAACGACGTCATTCCTCTGTTGCACGTCCTGGAACAATGCTGTGTTAACAATGGCTGGTCAGGGTGCGGTAGACGTGGCGCACAGATCTCAACGCCACATGACCCCTGTGGGGGCAGGACAGGAAGAAGAGGAGGAGGTAGAGGAGGACATTGGTGCTCAGGAATTATTGAGTGAAATGGGTGGTTTTTCCACTCAGCGGACAGGAGTGGAGGAGCAGGAGCATCTGGTAGAGGAGGAGGAGGAGGAGACAGAGGACCCAGACGCACCGTGGCAGTATGCTGTGGAGATGGAGGCAGGGAGTCCCCTCGCATTCCTTGGCACAAATGGCCCATAGCATGCTCGGTTGCTTGCGTAGCGACAGCCGAATAATAACCATCAGACAGAGGGATGACTTTTGGCTGTCCACCTTGTTGGACCCTCGCTACCGTTCAAAAATGGTGGCCTTTTTCACACCTGCTGAGAGGGAGGCCAAAATAACGTACTATAAAAACCACCTATGTAGTCAGTTGGTCTCTGCCTTTCTGCGCCAACGTCCATCCTCAGACACTGTGGGCCCTGTGCGCTCGCGTTCCGCTGCCATGGCAGCAGGGGAGGGGTGGGGTGGTAGGAGCAGTGGCAGCTCCACCAGCAGCGGCTGCCTCAGTCTGCAGTCGATGATGAGTAGCTTTTCTTCACCAGCGCAGTGAGGAAACTACTAACCAGCCGCAGCAGCAGCAGCAGCATCAGGTGGACCTGGAGCAGGACCTCAAACAACAGGCTTGGGCCTACTTGGACAGCACCCTGCCAACCGAGGTAGACAATCCCCTTGACTACTGGGCAACGAAACTTGACCTTTGGCCCCAACTAGCTGAATTTGCCCTTGAAAGGCTGTCATGCCCGGCCAGTAGCGTGGCATCGGAGCGCGTGTTTAGTGCGGCAGGAGGTATTGTAACTCCGCGGAGGACACGACTGTCCACCCAAAGTGTGGAGAGACTCACGTTTGTGAAAATGAATCAGGCGTGGATTAGTCTGGATTTCAAACCACCAGTTCCTGACACAACTGACTAAATCCGCCATGAATCATGCCCCAAACATGTGCCACTTTCAGGTCTCCTCACACTGCTGGTGGGTTCCATTTAAGCTGGCAGATACGCTCGCCATTGCTGCTGCCATGGGCCCCTGTACCGCCTCCTCTTGCTGCTGCCCAGGTCCAAGTGTGTCATGGGTCCCTGTACGGCCTCCCATTGCTGCTGTCTTCATCGCCACACTCTGCCATGTGCCACTTTCAGGTCTCCTCACACTGCTGGTGGGTTCCATTTTGTCATAGGGTGCTGGCAGATTACGGGCCTCCCTGCTGCCTCCAGGCCCCTAATCTGCCATGGGCCCTTGTCCGCCTCCTCATGCTGCTGCCAGGTCCAGTTTTTGTCTCATGGGTCCCAGTGTTACGGCCTCCCATTGCTGCTGTCTCCATCGCCACACTCTGCCATGTGCCACTTTCGTCTCCTCACACTGCTGTGGTTCCATTTTTTGTCATAGGGTGCCTGGCAGATTACGGGCCTCCCATTGCTGCTGCATCCCCTAATCTGCCATGGGTCCCCTGTCGTCTCCTCACATGCTGCTGCCAGGCTTCCAAGTGTTCATGGTCAACGGTCCCATTGCTAGGTCCTGCATATGGCTTCTCCATTGCCATAGGCTGCTGCCTCCACCATCCACACTCTGCCATGTGCTGCTTTCAGTCCCTGTGCCTGTGTTCCATTGTCGTCATAGGGTGCTGGCATTACTGCTGCCTCCCAGCTGCTGCCAGGCCCTAATCTGCCATGGGCCCCTGTACCGCCTCCTCATGCTGCTGCCAGGTCCAACAGTGTCTCATGGGTCCCTGTACGGCCTCCCATTGCTGCTTGTCATCCATCGCCACACTCTGCCATGTGCCACTTTCAGGTCTCCTCACACTGCTGTGTGTTCCATTTTGTCATAGGGTGCTGGCAGATTACGGGCCTCCCAAGCTGCTGCCAGGCCCAGTCTCTGCCATGGGCCCCTGTACCTGCCATGGCTCGCCAGTAGATTGCGGAGGAGTAGAGTTCCCAGGAATCCTCACACTGCCAGTGGTGTTCCATTTTTAATAGGGTGTCCCTGTATGGCCTCCAATTGCTGCTGTCTGCTCGCCCACTCTGCCATGTGCCACTTTGATAGTCTCTCCCCAGCGCATGCTGCCATTTTTAACATAGGCCAGATTCTGTATGGCCTCCAATTGCTGCTTCTGCTCCGCCACTCTGCCATTGGACCTGATAGTCTCCCACAGGTCAAGAGTCCAATGTACGGCCTCCCATTGCTGGCTGTCTCCATCCCACACTCTGCCATGTGCCACTTCAGGTCTCCTCACACTGCTGCTGGGTTCCATTTTTTCATAGGGTCCCTCAGATTACGGGCCTCCCATTGCTGCTGCTAGCCAGGCCCCTAATCTGCCATGGGCCCTGGGCAACCGCCTCCTCATGCTGCTGCCAGTTCAGTGCACAGTGGTGTCATGCAGGTCTGTGCCTCCCTGTGCCTGGCCTCCCCATTGCTTTGTCAACTCCATTCGCCACAGTGATCATGCAAATGTGCCACGTTTTCAGAGTCTCCTCACACACTGGGGCCATGTTCCATTTTGTCATAGGTGCTGAGCAGATTACGGGCCTCCCATTGCTGCTGGAGGCAGCCCCTAATCTGCCATGGGCCCCTGTACCGCCTCCTCAGCAAGCGTGAGCAGACGACAGTCAGGGCACATGGCGCCAGGGGGTACGGCGGTGGATTGCTGCTGTCTCCATCCCACACTCTGCCATGTGCCACGGTTCAGGTCTCCTCAGCACGTCTGCTGGTGGTTCCAATTTTGTCATAGGGTGCTGGCAGATTACGGGCCTCCCATAGCTGCTGCCAGCCCCTAATCTGCCATGGGCCCCTGTACCCGCCTCCTCATGCTAAGGAGACCAGGTGGCACATGGCAGAGTCTCTCATGAAGTCAGGTCCCTGAAACACTGGCCTCCCATTGCTGCTGTCTCCATCCCCACAGACTCTGCCAGCGTGCCACTTTCAGGTGAAGGCCACACAGAGGCTGCTGTGTTAAAAATTTTGTCATAGGGTGCTGGCAGACTTACGGGCCTCCCATGCTGCTGCCAGGCCCCTAATCTGCCATGGCCCCTGTACCGCCTCCTCCATGGGCTGCTGCCAGGTCCAAAGTCTCTCATGGGTCCCTGTACGGCCTCCCATTGCTGCTGTCTCCATCGCCACACTCTGCCATGTGCCACTTTCAGGTCTCCTCACACTGCGCTGGTTCCATTTTTTGTCATAGGGTGCTGGCAGATTACGGGCCTCCCATTGCTGCTGCCAGGCCCCTAATCTGCCATGGGCCCCTGTACCGCCTCCTCATGCTGCTGCCAGGTCCACAGTGTGTCTCATGGGTCCCTGTACGGCCTCCCATTGCTGCTGTCTCCATCGCCACACTCTGCCATGTGCCACTTTCAGGTCTCCTCACACTGCTGCTGGGTTCCATTTTGTCATAGGGTGCTGGCAGATTACGGGCCTCCCATTGCTGCTGCCAGGCCCCTAATCTGCCATGGGCCCCTGTACCGCCTCCTCACGCTGCTGCCAGGTCCACAGTGTGTCATGGGTCCCTGTACGGCCCTCCCATTGCTGCTGTCTCCATCGCCACACTCTGCCATGTGCCACTTTCAGGTCTCCTCACACTGCTGCTGTGTGTTCCATTTTGTCATAGGGTGCTGGCAGATTACGGGCCTCCCATTGCTGCTGCCAGGCCCCTAATCTGCCATGGGCCCCTGTACCGCCTCCTCATGCTGCTGCCAGGTCCACAGTGTGTCATGGGTCCCTGTACGGCCTCCCATTGCTGCTGTCTCCATCGCCACACTCTGCCATGTGCCACTTTCAGGTCTCCTCACACTGCTGCTGGGTTCCATTTTGTCATAGGGTGCTGGCAGATTACGGGCCTCCCATTGCTGCTGCCAGGCCCCTAATCTGCCATGGGCCCCTGTACCGCCTCCTCATGCTGCTGCCAGGTCCACAGTGTCTCATGGGTCCCTGTACGGCCTCCCATTGCTGCTGTCTCCATCGCCACACTCTGCCATGTGCCACTTTCAGGTCTCCTCACACTGCTGCTGGGTTCCATTTTGTCATAGGGTGCTGGCAGATTACGGGCCTCCCATTGCTGCGGCCAGGCCCCTAATCTGCCATGGGCCCCTGTACCGCCTCCTCATGCTGCTGCCAGGTCCACAGTGTCTCATGGGTCCCTGTACGGCCTCCCATTGCTGCTGTCTCCATCGCCACACTCTGCCATGTGCCACTTTCAGGTCTCCTCACACACTGCTGGTGGTTCCATTTTTTTGTCATAGGGTGCTGGCAGATTACGGGCCTCCCATTGCTGCTGCCAGGCCCCTAATCTGCCATGGGCCCCTGTACCGCCTCCTCATGCTGCTGCCAGGTCCAGTGTGTCTCATGGGTCCCTGTACGGCCTCCCATTGCTGCTGTCTCCATCGCCACACTCTGCCATGTGCCACTTTCAGGTCTCCTCACACACTGCTGGTGGGTTCCATTTTTTTGTCATAGGGTGCTGGCAGATTACGGGCCTCCCATTGCTGCTGCCAGGCCCCTAATCTGCCATGGGCCCCTGTAACCGCCTCCTCATGCTGCTGCCAGGTCCACAGTGTGTCATGGGTCCCTGTACGGCCTCCCATTGCTGCTGTCTCCATCGCCACACTCTGCCATGTGCCACTTTCAGGTCTCCTCACACTGCTGCTGGGTTCCATTTTGTCATAGGGTGCTGGCAGATTACGGGCCTCCCATTGCTGCTGCCAGGCCCCTAATCTGCCATGGGCCCCTGTACCGCCTCCTCATGCTGCTGCTGCCAGGTCCACAGTGTGTCATGGGTCCCTGTACGGCCTCCCATTGCTGCTGTCTCCATCGCCACACTCTGCCATGTCCACTTTCAGGTCTCCTCCTCACACTGCTGCTGGGTGTTTCCATTTTGTCATAGGGTGCTGGCAGATTACGGGCCTCCCATTGCTGCTGCCAGGCCCTAATCTGCCATGGGCCCTGTACCGCCTCCTCATGCTGCTGCCAGGTCCACAGTGGTGTCATGGTCCCTGTACGGCCTCCCATTGCTGCTGTCTCCATCGCCACACTCTGCCATGTGCCACTTTCAGGTCCCTCCTCACACTGCTGCTGGGTTCCATTTTGTCATAGGGTGCTGGCAGATTACGGGCCTCCCATTGCTGCTGCCAGGCCCGTAATCTGCCATGGGCCCCCGTACCGACTCCTCATGCTGTGACGTTGCAACAAGGTGGAATTCAACCCTACATATGTTAGACCGCCTTTACGAACAGCAAAAAGCCATCACCGATTTCCTGATGTTACAAGCGGATAAAGGTACTCCCCTGTGTAACTTAGATGTCAGCCATTGGCAGCTCATGCGTGACACCTGCCGCTTGCTCAGGCCCTTTGAGGAGGCCACGCTATTCGTGAGTCGGCAGGACTATGGGATGAACGACGTCATTCCTCTGTTGCACGTCCTGGAACAAATGCTGTTAACAATGGCTGGTCAGGGTGCGGTAGACGTGGCGCACAGATCTCAACGCCACATGACCCCTGTGGGGGCAGGACAGGAAGAAGAGGAGGAGGTAGAGGAGGACATTGGTGCTCAGGAATTATTGAGTGAAAATGGGTGGTTTTTCCACTCAGCGGACAGGAGTGGAGGAGCAGGAGCATCTGGTAGAGGAGGAGGAGGAGGAGAGACAGAGGACCCAGACGCACCGTGGCAGTATGCTGTGGAGATGGAGGCAGGGAGTCCCTCGCATTCCTTGGCACAAATGGCCCATAGCATGCTCGCTTGCTTGCGTAGCGACAGCCGAATAATAACCACAGACAGAGGGATGACTTTTGGCTGTCCACCTTGTTGGACCCACGCTACCGTTCAAAAATGGTGGCCTTTTTCACACCTGCTGAGAGGGAGGCCAAAATAAACGTACTATAAAAACCACCTATGTAGTCAGTTGGTCTCTGCCTTTCTGCGCCAACGTCCATCCTCAGACACTGTGGGCCCTGTGCGCTCGCGTTCCGCTGCCATGGCAGCAGGGGAGGGGTGGGGTGGTAGGAGCAGTGGCAGCTCCACCAGCAGCGGCTGCTGCCTCAGTCTGCAGTCGATGATGAGTAGCTTTCTTCACCAGCGCAGTGAGGGAAACTACTTAACCGCAGCAGCAGCAGCAGCAGCATCAGGTGGACCTGGAGCAGGACCTCAAACAACAGGCTTGGGCCTACTTGGACAGCACCCTGCCAACCGAGGTAGACAATCCCCTTGACTACTGGGCAACGAAACTTGACCTTGCCCCAACTAGCTGAATTTGCTCTTGAAAGGCTGTCATGCCCGGCCAGTAGCGTGGCATCGGAGCGCGTGTTTAGTGCGGCAGGAGGTATTGTAACTCCGCGGAGGACACGACTGTCCACCCCAAAGTGTGGAGAGACTCACGTTTGTGAAAATGAATCAGGCAGGGCTGGATTAGTCTTGATTTCAAACCACCAGTTCCTGACACAACTGACTAAATCCGCCATGAATCATGCCCCATTGCATGTGCCACTTTCAGGTCTCCTCACATCTGCTGGTGGGTTCCACTTTTTCATAGGGTGCCAGTCACCTAGGCCATCTGCTGGCTCATGCTGCTGCAGGTCCACAGTGTGTCCATGGGTCCCTGTACGGCCTCCCATTGCTGCTGTCTCCATCGCCACACTCTGCCATGTGCCACTTTCAGGTCTCCTCACACTGCTGGCTGGGTTCCATTTTGTCATAGGGTGCTGGCAGATTACGGGCCTCACATTGCTGCGGCTAGGCCCCTAATCTGCCATGGGCCCCTGTACGCCTCCTCATGCTGCTGCCTGGTCCACAGTGTGTCATGGGTCCCTGTAACGGCCTCCACATTGCTGCTGTCTCCATCGCCACACTCTGCCATTGTGCCACTTTTCAGGTCTCCTCACACTGCTGCTGGGTTCCAATTTTGTGATAGGTGCGTGGCAGATTACGGGGCCTCTCATTGCTGCGGCCAGGCCCCTAATC